AGTATTTTCACCTGAGGGAGCTCAGCTGAGCCCAGCAGGAGGAATAAGGACGCAGACTGACCCAAGGCAATGCCCACAGCTATTTCTCTTCCCGCAGGGACCTGATTTTGGCTATGTACGCAGAGAGCCTCTCTTCAAGGCCACCTCCAGCCTTGACTCCTTTGGCAACCTGGAGGTCAGCCCACCTGTCACTGCAGCAGGGAAAGAGTACCCGCTGGGAAGGATCCTCATCGGCAGCAGCTTCCCCACGTAAGACATGGCAAAACTGTGTTTGAGGGCAAAGGAACTACAAGTACCCTAAATACCACCAAAAACCACATTAAGCCACTTAATTGGCCATTAAATAACCAACCGCAACCTACTCCCTTACAGTGTCCGGAACCCCATGGCCTTCATTTCCTCCATCTTGGGAGAAATTTGTACGCATGTGCATAGTGATGAATAAATACTCATTCCCCTTTGTAAGGTCAATAAGTACACAGATACCATAAAGTGTTATGATCAATAAGTATACAAAGCAGTTAGGCTAGTTAAGATTATCACATTGGAAAAGATAATCAGAGATAAATGAAAAGTGCTCACCAGTGCTGTAGGCTCACAAGAAACTCCACAAGGAACAATCTCCAGTAAGACACCCTTCCCTAGTGGCAGTCAGCCCTTAAATGAGGTCTAGGAGAGGTGCAGCCAGGCTTTACCTCTTCAGATCACACAGCTGAATCGCCTTCACCTGTGCTCCTGCGACTGACTCTGTGCTCACCTCAGGTGATCAATCAGAGGTTCAGGCTGTGATTCAACTGTTCCCATACACCCTTATTCCCCCTCTCAGGGGTTACTGGCATTGAGGGATGTAGATAACTGGGCATGGTGGCGATGGGTTGATGTTTGGACTTCATGATCTTAGTGGTCCTTTCCAATCGTAATGACTCTATGACTTTGCCTCTAGCCCTGCAGGAAGGAGGATGACCAGAGTGGTACGGGATTTCCTCTTCGCTCAGCAGGTGCAGGCTCCTGTGGAGCTCTTCTCCGACTGGTTGGCCATGGGCCATGTCAACGAGTTTGTCACTTTTGTGCCCAGCCCTGATGCAAAGGTATCCCGAGACCCTGTGCTGTTCTATGGTTTCCCTTCTGGGTAACTAATTCCATCAGGGAAACTACCAAAGCTCATTTCCTTGAGAGTCCAAGCTGGTGTTTCCTTGGCTTCTCTCCCACATCTCCAATAGGAGGGCTCAGGCCACAAGAACATACACTCTTAACTAATAGCAAAAGTCTTTAAGTTTAAGAACTTAACCTTAACCTTCTTGCAAAAAGCCAAAAATGAGCCTGCAGGGGCAGTTTTCACAGGAAGAAGTACTAACATGGTGCTTTGGGATAAGCTCCTTTTGGTGACCATTTTTCCTCCTGCTTGCCCCAGCGATTTCGAATGCTGATGGCTAGCCCTGCAGCATGCTACAAGCTCTTTCGGCAGAAGCAGAAGGAGGGCCAAGGAGAAGCTACCATGTTCAAAGGCAAGCGGGCAGCGGGCAGCCTGGGGGGAATTGTGCAAATCCCAGCCAGGGTGGGTGGAAGCCTGCTGTTCCCTGTCCTTAAAATAAAAGTTGAGCTTTGATGCAGTGCAGGACATCCAAGGGCGGCAGCCCTCAACGCGCCTGGAGCAACATGCAGGTGTTGAGGACGTGAGGATGGGGACATTTTCCCATTCCATTGCCCTTCAAGGCTGGCAAGAAGGGCTGTCATGCCTGTCCTTGCAGCAGGATGCCTGCCCACCCTCAAGCCCTATTTTGGGAAAGCGAGTGGGATGGGATAAAGCTCTGTGCATTGAGAGGATGCTGGTGGAGTGGGACAGAAGATCTCTGTAAATGCCAGCTCCAGCACAGTAGCACAATGGGGGTCTCGTGTCACCCGAGATACATTTCAGTCACTCTGGACTGGCAGCCAGTTTGGGCAGCTTCTGATCAAAGTTTTGCTTGAGACTAAATTCATCTGTATGCCTTGAGGTCAGAGAAGGACGTCTCTGTCACCATGGGGGCCCCTGGGACTCTGCCACTGTCTGGGATTTGGCTTCTGTGGAGGGGATACCTATAGTTTTATGGAGCTTGGGCAGCACAAAAACTGTTATTCTATTAGCAATACATTTATATTCCTTGTGCAGGAAAATGGATAATCATAGAATTGTCTGGGCTGGAAGGGGCCTTTAAGATCATGTAGTTCCCCAATCCCCCTGTGCTATAGGTACCCTCCAGACCAGGTTGCTCAAAGTCCCATCAAACCTGGCCTGAGACCTTTCTAATGCTTTCCAGGCCTGATGAAAATATTACAAAGTGGACAAAGATTTCCCTCCCGCCTCGTTTCCCAATAAGTTGAGAAAAGGGACTCCCAGCAGTCTCATCCCAAAGCCTTAACCTCAGGGAACTGGGATCTGTGGGGTTTTTTTCCACTTCTGTGCTACATCTTAAGCCAGGTTTCTGCAGATCATTTCATTTCACCTGTCGGCGTTTGTATTTGTAGGGTATTCAGGGACAGACACAAAACGGGTGACCATTAACAAGGTCCTTTCCAATGGCATCATGATGCAGCAGAATCAGTATGTCCAGGTAACAGCCCGTATTTCTGAAAACCAACATTTCTTGTGATAATGGTCCAAGGGTGGCACAACTCTCAAGGGAGAAGTTGCGTTTAGGCAAAAGCCACTCTCCTGAGTGAGACAATGTCCAGAAGACCATTTTCAGGAACCTTGCTTGCCTGCTTGTCCCCCTGGTCCCTTCTTCTCCCCTCCCTCCAGCGCTGCATTGACTGGAACAGGGACATCCTCAAGAAAGAACTGGGCTTGACAGAGGAGGACATCATTGACCTACCAGCCCTCTTCAAGCTCGACAAGGGCAAGGCCATGCCATACTTTCCCAACATGGTGAGAGGTGTCCCTGCTGCTCGTGTCCCCTTCAGCCAGTGCCTGTGGGTTCTGCATTATGGAGAGCCAAACCTCTGCCCATGAGCCATTGCTCCCCAAGGATGTCCAAAAAAACATAGTATTTTCCTGTCCAGAAAGGGAAAATATCCTCATCTGAGCTTGACAGGTTGGCCAAGGTTTGTCATCGGCCAAGGGTGGTCGGAACTCTGTAGCCTTTTGGTGCATATTGCTCATGGTTGGGTTAACCTAAAAAGTTTTAAGGTGAAAGCATTTTGGAGTGGTGAAATGTCAAGGTTTAAATATAAAAAGGGAGGACATAGCACAGGATTTCCTGGGGGAGGGAATAATGACGATGACCCAATTTGGGATGACCCCGATGGAGGAGGGTCACCAGCTACTATAACAATCCTTTGAATTATCGATTCTATGATCGACCAGGGAGGCTGCTGGGTGTCCTTAAAGCCCTTTGTCACCCCACAGGTCCCCATGATCATCCTGTCCGAGGAGCTGGGCATCCCCAAGCCCTTCGGCCCGCTGGTCGGAGGCGAGTGCTGCTTGGAACACCACGTGCGCAGCCTCCTGGAGCCGCTGGGCCTGAGGTGCCGCTTCCTGGAGGACATTTCCTCCTACCATGGGCGGCTCGGAGAGGTGCACTGCGGCACCAATGTCCACCGCCGGCCCTTCGCCTTCCGCTGGTGGCACGTCACGCCCTAGGCAGGCTGCCTTCGTGGCCCGCTTTGTCAGCATGTGTTGTTTTAAATGCGGTGAAATAATAAATTTGCTGTGAGAAATGAGGTGGGGAGTGTTTTATAACGGCGAGAACAGTGAGAGGAGTGCTTGGGGTGGTGCTGAAGCGAGGGTGCCATTTTGGGCCTTGGCACTGCCATTTTGCCAGCTGAGCATTGAGGCCTTGACACCTCCTCTGTAAAAAAGGATGAGGATAGGGATCACCTCTGAGTATAAGGAGGGACGCAGCGGTCTGCCAGCTCCCGAAAATGAGGCGGTCCAGACGTGCCGGTCCGCCATATCCTCCCTCTGTCACACTCAACATGGCACCCCTACACACCCAAAATGGCGACCAGCGGCAGCGCGCCGCCCTCAGAGAGCACTTCTGGGGCGGAGCGGAACTGCGCAGCGCCAAAATGGCGGCGGCCGCGGTGGGAGTCTCCTTGAGGCGCGCCGTCCCTGCGCGGCTCCTGGGTGCTGGGCTGCGGCCGGTGAGGGGACTGGAGGCGGTCCGGGGTGTCGGGGGCAAGGGAGAGACGGCCGGAGGAGCGAGGGGAGGGATACTGGGGGATGTCGGGGGGCTGCAGGAGGGTGTGGGGGAGGTGGGGGCAGGGGGAGCCAGAGGGGCCTGGGAGGGGTTGGGGGGGACGACGACGGGATGCAGTGTAGGAAGGGAAGAAGTTTCAGAGGAGTTAGGAGAAGGGGGGTCTGGGGGACGTGGGCTGTGTGAAGGGCACTGGAGGGGGTCTAGGGGTGAAGAGGAAGGGGGAAGGGGCTTGGGGACGGTTTAGGGGGAGGAAGAAGGGAGCTGAGTGAGATCGGGGATCCAGAAGGGGATTGGAGAAGGATGTGGGCACAGGAGAAATGTAGGTGGGGTCTGGGGGCCCTTGTCCAGAGCAGGGTGGGGATGCGGCAGGGAGCTTCTGAGAGAATCTGTGGGGCTGTGGCACAGCATTCAGGGCTGCGGGGCCCACAGGAGCACCAGGAGCTGCCTCCTTAGTTTTGGTGTCATCTCCTCTGTTTCAAGGAAGAGGAGGGAGCCCCAGCACAGAGGTGGCTGTGGGTGCCAAGGTGCACTGGCGTGTCAAATCCTTGGAAGGATTCTCTGTACATGTGCCCAAATGCCAAGCCACCAATGGATCCTGTAGCTCTGGCCCCAAAACTCACTGCCACAAGTCATTTTGTTGCTGGCTTAGGAGGGACCTGAGGGCTGTTTTGCTGCTGTTCAAATGCAGATCTGTCGAGGAGCTCAGACAGCGGCTGCAGCTACATCACGTATCAAGAAGTTTTCCATCTACAGATGGGATCCTGATAAGCCTGGGGACAAGCCCCGTATGCAGACGTATGAAGTGGATTTGAATAAGTGAGTGTACCCGATTACGGAGCGCTGCTTGGCTTCCCTAGCATGCAGATGTGTCGGGGCTGCATGTGCACACAGGTTATCTGACAGGCAGTAATTCAGGGTAGCCGAGTGGTGTTTGAGTCAACAACTGAGGGTGTCAGCAGTCTCGTTCAGCTTCAGGCATTGTTAAAACCATGTTACAGTAGCCAGAGAGGCAGTGCCTCAGGTGTGTTATGCAGCAGGACAATAGGGGGGTGTTACTTCCTGATAAAGCAAATCTTACTGAGACCACGTGGGATTGCTTTCCTTCCCTCACCTGTTGGCGTCAAGCATGACAAATAAAATTGTACTGTGAATGCCACTGTCTCAGTAGTTGTCAGCAATTATATGGTAACAGCTATATTTATATGGTGAATTTTGGGGCATATTCCAAAAGGAAGCAATTTTACTCATAGCTCACAGTCCCAGACCTTGAAGATAAGGTGAAGGTTTTACTGTCTCTTACAATCTCTTAACATGTAACACAACCAGCAAACTAGAAGTAATTAAACTTCTAGTAGCTGCTTGTACGCCCTACTGCAGTTATCACCAAGAAAGCTCTCATTTCTCAGTGATCCTGTGGAAGGATACAGTCTTCCCTGTGGTGTAGAAACCTTTGCACATGTGCCTCCGCTTCCTTGAGCTCCTGTTACTATGGTCTTGCCAGAAGAATTCACCTCAAGCCCTTCCTGAAAGCTTCAGATACAAAGCCACGCAGCTCTGCCTGGGAAGCACGTGACAGAAATCAGACTTTGCTGCTTTGATTTGCCCCAGTTAATAATTTCTAGGTGTTGTCTTGTCTGTCATATATAAAATTACATAAGTTGTCCAAGACTTTGCTTTTGCAAGCAGCACTGCTTCCTGTGACTAATGAGGATAGGCAGACTTGTCAAAACTTGACTTAAGAGGTGCGAGCTTTCAGGATTGTTTTCAGTTGCGCTGTCTGAACTGTCTCCAGCAGAGCCAAATCTGGGCCTCAGTAAAAGAAATGGCTCCTGTCCCGCTTTGACCCTGGGGAGAGATGAGGCCTGTGAGTTGTGCCACTGAGCAACTGATTTCTATCTTGTTGCAAAATAAAGTACAGTTTTAATTGTAGCTGAGATGAAAGTCCTTTTAGTTGCTTCTTAGGTTGGTGCTGGAGATAAAGCCAGGGGAAATTATATAGGTTCACTGACTTTGTTTTCTGCTATAGATGTGGCCCTATGGTACTTGATGCTCTGATTAAGATTAAAAATGAGTTGGACTCCACTCTGACCTTCCGCAGGTCATGCAGGGAAGGTAAGAAAGATTTTTCAATCTGCTAAGCTGACTGTTGTCCAAATAAAATGCGAACGCTAACGCTGCATGTGTGTAACCAATAGAAAACTTCAGGGCAGACCACAGCATGCCACTCTTCTTTTCTAGGTATTGAACACGAAATACCTTAGTGAATCAAGCAGTGAAGTTACAGCATATAATCACCCCACACCGAGTTACAAGTGAGACACATAAACAGCCCCAGTCATTCCTGTTTCCATCCTAATTGTGTTCATCTTGCTGCCCTCCAGTGATGGACTCTGTAGGGGAATTTAGGGAGGAGACATTACAGCAGCAGAATTGAGGGGAAAGACGTGTTGAATGGCAGTGAACTGTAGCCCTTCGACTAAGTAGAGTGAGGAGAAGGCCATCCCCTGGTTTCATGCTGCAGAGTTACCTGCTGGTTCTCAGGCAGGTAGTCATCAGCATCTTTGACTGCATTCAAACTTTCCAGTCCCAGTGACACTTTTCCCTGGAAAGAAAGACTTAATTCATGAGTGCTGTTGGTATGCTGAGATTAAGATTATTGTGGAGGAAAATGTCTTCATGGAACAACTTTTGGTTTAATTGGTTGGGTTTGCAAGCGCTAGAAATTTAGGTGCAATTGCCTGATGCCTAAAGACGTCCTGACTCAGATCTAAATGAAAAGCATGCTTCAACACAGACATTTCTGGCAGAATCTGCATAGCAGTGGAGGAATTTTATCCAGTGTGATTGTTGTCCGTGTCTGATATTTATATAGCAAACACTGTTCCTGAGCAGCTGGAAGTAATTGCACTGAATAGTTTTCTTTGAGAATCTAAAGACAGGTTCCTAAGCTTGGTTGGTTTGATGTTGTCCTTTTCTACCATACAGGGGAAAAAAATCTGATCATGTGTTCCGGTTTCTTACACGTGGTCTCTAATTGTCCTGGCCCCTTCTCGAGTTTACTGGAAAATACTTGTAACCACTCAGTGAGTGGGAGAAATAACTTTGTCCAAGTGCCAGCCCTTGTGGGAAGGGTTGCCTGCACACCAGGCGCTGAGGACTGGCTCACTCAGTGTGAGCAGTAGTGGCATTTCCCTGACTCTATCAACTGATGTGTGTCAAATCCTCTGAAATTAGTGACGCCCTTTCAGCACTTGTCATCTTTCCAATATAATGCCTTAGGAATCAGTCCAAGATTGAATGCCAGAGCTTCTGACCTGAGCAGTATCAGAGACAGCTCTATAATGTTTTTTTTGTGAGCCTTGCCCTTTCCTGGGCTGCATCTGTTCCTTGTGTTACTGAGGTCACGAGCAGTGTCGCTTAACCCATTTGTTAAGCTATTTATATGCTATTTGTTCTGTGAGTGCGTGTTCTCTCACCACGGGGAGCTAATGAAAGCAGGGGATGGCACAACTTCAGCTGCTGCAGAAGGCGCAGAAAGGAGCTTCTGTCTTGGGAACTTATTTTCACATTCCTGACCTTTAGGGATGCTTCTGAACCTAACTGTAGGGCTGGTGGGGGTCCATGTGGCTCCACTTTGTAATCCCACTGTTAGCTGCTTGTGTTTCAAACCTGTCAACAAATCTGAGAAGCAGCACGTGGAGCGTATGACACGTAGGGATGAAGTGTCTGAATGCCACAGGTTTTGCTGTGGAAGGAAGTTCAGCGCCAAGGATACATTTAGAGCTTCATGAAAACAGTGCCAGCATTTCTTTGTTTGAATAGCAATGTGCTTGGCCCAGTGACAACTTGTAGCATTTTCCTCATCACGTACCAAGGTTCTTGATGACATCAGAAGGGAAATCAAGCCAGGGGCAAGTTCAGGGTGAAGAGGATCTTCCTCAAGTAGGATAAGAGAGTGAACATCGACTGCTTTACTCTGTTCTCTTTCTCAGGCATCTGTGGCTCCTGTGCGATGAACATTGCTGGTGGAAACACTCTGGCTTGTACTAAAAAAATTGACCCTGATCTCAGCAAGATCACTAAAATCTACCCTCTCCCCCACATGTATGTGGTGAAGGATCTTGTTCCAGTAAGTATCTGCCTTCATCTTGTGACCAATGCTGACGCCATTCCAGACAGCATGGGGTTCAGGTTGGATTAGAAGGGATAATGTTGGGAGATGGCAACAAGATCACGACCCACAATTCACGTCCGAGCTCCTCTTGATGCTCTCTGGCTTGGGTGGGTCTGCTTACCAGTGGTGACTAAATCTGGCCTCGTTAGGAGGAATGCGGCAGGCTGACGTACAAAATACCTCCTTCTCTATAAATGACAACAGATGTTCAGTCTCTCAGACATCAAGCGTGATCTTTTTGCCTTTTGTCTCCTAGGACTTGAGTAACTTCTACGCACAGTACAAATCTATCGAGCCTTACCTGAAGAAGAAGGATGAGTCGAAACAGGGCAAGGAGCAGTACCTGCAATCCATAGAAGACCGTCAGAAACTGGTTACCCTTTGTTAAAATTATTTTTTACCATGAAAGTCCCTTCCAGATAAGACCAGGGTTAAACATTAATGTGCAGTAGCGTCTAGTTCCTTTAATGACAAAACTGTCTGTTACAAAGCCTGATGTGGGTGGAAAGCGCTCCCTGAAACGCAGTGCTGTGGCACGTCTGCATTGCTAGGGGTAACATTTGCTAATGACATGCAGAACACAGTTGTGCTGGGGACTCTGACCTCATTTCCACTGTCTGTGCTGCAAAACTCTGTCTTTGTAAAAACACTGTGAAGGGCAGAGGCTTGTAATATTCACGTAGAGATCTGGCAATGCTATTTATGCTGGGGAGTAGTTTGTCTAACGCAGCGCTGTCTGCGTATCTGTCTCCTAAGCAGCACTGTTGTGTTGCTGCACGCTGGGTTTTACAGCCCTGAAACTAATGGCAAAAGCTGAGCCTATAGAGGTGGGAGGGGGAAGCTTTTTGAAGAGTTTATAGAGCAGGTAAGTTAGTGTCTGGATTTTTCTGGCTCCTACAATAAGTGTTGATAAATTGACAGTTTCTCTTTTGCCTCTGACCTGTCTTGATGGATCATTTGCTCGACAGTTTGAAGCTCGGCAGTGCAGTGCAGTGATTGTTGCTGCAGTATTGTCTGAGTAGGCTCACAGTGGGCAAGCAGCCTAGATTTTGGCAAGGGATTTTGGTGAAAGGGATGAGCGTGAGCAACACAGAGGAAGGCTAATTAAAGAGGATATAATGAGAACAGACGAACTGCAGCCTAATTGCAGCGATCTTTGAAAGTTGCCCATTATGTGCGTTTGCTGTGACATCTAACATCTGATGAGCAGACGTGTCATGTGCCGAGGATGTCAGCAGCATGATACAACTAGCTGTGTGCTGTCCTAACAACCCTGGGATTTTACAGTTTGAAAGAATTTCTTTCCAAGGGCGACAGTTAATTCTCCTACACCACTTCATAATGTTATCTGATGGCACATATAAGGACTTAAAGGGATTCTCTCAATGATTTCTTAAAGCAGCATCTTTGAAGTCACTTTCTCATTTAAGTAAAAAAACAAACCTAAAAGTAGCTGCAAGAGCCACGTCAATCTTCCTCATGATTAGTAATGTTTTTTATCTCCTTACCAAAGCTTCTCTTGCATTCTCTTGTATCCAAGCACACAGGCATCTGAAAAATTCTTACCTTTTCCTCACTGGGACAGGCCGAAAGCAAAGAATGCATAAAAATCTAGAATTTCTGCACTTGTCTCTTCAAGTTCTGCACTTCTGTGTTTGACCGTGGTCTCTCATCTGTGTGCAGGATGGACTCTACGAGTGCATCCTGTGTGCCTGCTGCAGCACCAGCTGTCCCAGTTACTGGTGGAACGGGGACAAGTACTTGGGTCCTGCTGTTCTCATGCAGGTAAGGACAGATCCTGGGTGTCACGGGGAACTGCTGAGGGACTCCTCATTTAAAGGCAGTGCAGATACCTGTGACATCGTGTGACATCAGCGTCCGTGGAGGAGTTCAAGAAACATATAGATGTGGTACTGAGGGATGTGGTTCGGTGGGTACAGGGTGGGGGTTGGACTAGATGATCTTAAGGGTCTTTTCCAGCATTAATGATTCTTCGATGGAGTAGTGGACCAGAATTCCTGAGTTAGGTGTTGGTTTTAAGATACAACACTGATTACTTCACCTTGGGAAATCATTTGGTGGGTCAATGACTTTCAGGCCTATCGCTGGATGATTGACTCCAGAGATGACTACACAGAGGAACGCCTGGCACAACTTCAAGACCCATTTTCTCTCTACCGTTGTCACACCATCATGAACTGCACGAGGACTTGCCCAAAGGTAAGTGTTGTTCCTGACGTGTCCCTTCTGCAGTTGTTTGCAAACTGGTAGGGAAATGCCAGTGGTAGGTTTTGTTTTCTTCAAGCTCTGGTTGAGTTTTTCCTTTCTGAAATGGTGAGTTATCAGCAGTCATGTTTGCAGTAGTGACTGTGCAAGAGAATATGACAGAGTTCACACTACATTACACATCACAGAAACGTATCTTCCTCGTGATTTTGAGAACCTGACTGTTTCCAGGATTTAGGTATGTGTCTGTAACACGCTGTTTGTGTGAGGGACGCTGCCAGAAAGCCAATGGGGGGACGTAGTCTGATCAGCGATGCGAGTAATACCCAGAACCCCAGCATAGTGCTGGCTTACACCTGGTCTTGCACCCCAGCAGTAGCAGCTGTTCTGATGTATTGTGCAACTTGCATAATAGAGAAGGTGACACCAAGTTTTCAGTGCCGAGGGGAGTGTGTTTTATGCTGACATCCTGCCAGAAGGGCATTTCCGAGGTGTGTTTGTGGTATTTTTGCTGAGAACTGAGAAAATTTTCTCAAATTAGAGCATGCCTCTTCCTCTTCCTGCTGTAACCTTGTGCCTTTTGCTGGGTAGATAATTAAGTTTCATTTTCCTGCCAGCTGTATTGCTTGCACCTGATGGTAGAGTAAAATTCTTTCTGAGCTGTGAATAAGAAGGCAAACTTTTGAGTGGATCACGGATGTGGGAAAATAAGGTGCTTGAGATCTGGGCTGACAGGTGTTTGTTAGGAGCACTGCCTGCTAGTTTTGTTTAACATGATTCACTGTCTACGGATAAATCCCCCCTTTTTACAGAGCAGATTATCATGCTTACATGTCAGATGTAGTTCAGCTAAAGGTGAAGGTTCTGTTTGAAGACCTGACTGTACACAGCGTAGGGATATAACTCACGAGGGCTTGGTCTGTTGATTTTGAGACGCGTCTGTGGTTGATAATGTATTTCCCTTAAAAGCAGCTTAAATCACGTCTCTTATCTCGATCAGCTCTGAAAAAGAGACTGCGTAGTGAGCTGGGGTCATTTCCTGCTCACGCTTTGTCTCATGCTGCCATCACAGTATTATAAAAGGACATTTGTGATCTCCCCACTCTTGTTTTGAGATTAAGCGTGGTTGGCTTGCCAGCAGTACTGCAGGATTGAGGGCCTCTGTGATGCGCCGTATGTTTGAATTGTAGGAAAACCTTGCTTGGAAAAGCTTGGTTGTAGCATCTTCATCTTGTGACTTGGTCTTGCTGCAGTGCCCTGAGGATCCCTGGCAGCATTTGATGGAAGTGCAATACTAGACTGGGCTCCAGCTTTAAAAACTGGTTGCTGAGCCTGTCCTCTGCCAGTTCTTATGAATAGCAGTATATCTGTGAGTTGAACACAAATTCAGTTGTGGGAAAACAGAGAGGATACTCAAGCGTGCTGATTTCTAAAGAAACTAGCTGGATCTTTCTCTCTGCAGGGTTTGAACCCTGGCAAAGCAATTGCTGAGATCAAGAAGATGATGGCAACTTACAAAGAGAAGGCAGCCACTGCATAAAGCTGTTCCCCGACTGGAAATGTAACACACAAACGTGCTTTACCTGGAAGTCACTTGCACTTGATTACACCTGGTTCCAGCAGGAATGTTGGTGTTTTTTCCATATGCTTGTGCGTACAATAAATACTGTAAGAACAAGTTAAGAGTTGGTAACTCATTAACAATACGTAACTGATTCCTCTGCCTCCTTGGTGCACTGCCTTGTTGTTGAGGAACCCAGACATCTCATTTGCAGTTCTGAGTGCATCCAGTCACATGCAGACACAGCTCTTTTTTGGGAGCGGAGCCATTTTTGCAGTGTGGTTCAGGGTGCTGCACTGTCCGTATCTCCCATTATTGTGCCGTGCCTGGTCCCATGGCTGCATTATGCCCGGAGCTCAGCAGTTGCAGCCTGTGTGTCCCCATGGCTGCAGTTTGCATTCATCAAGGGCTGCAGCCTGTGTCCCTGCTGTTGCATCGTGTGTAGCAGCCATGCGTTGCACGCTGCGCTTCCACTTCTTCACTTCTGTTTTTTTCCTCTGCATTTTGGAACGCAGCGGCGACACACAGCGGTGAGAGCAGAGAGACGCCACTTCAGCTGATCAGCAGACTGACGGCCATAAATCTCGGAGGAGCAGCAGAGCACTCGGCTGCTGTCCTGGGGGGGTACCTTTAACTCCGGGCGATCAGTGCTTCCCTCCACGCTGCGCTCCTCGCTGCCGCGCGGAGCAAACCTCCCCCGGCACAAAGGACGCACGCGGAACGTCTCAGAAGGCCGCACCGCTTGGCCCCCTGGGGCGGTGCTCCTCCCGGAAGTCAGCCTCGCTCCCGTCTGCGTGAAGGCGGTGCCACGCGAGGCGTGTCGGTGGTTTCCCGTCTCACCGGAAGTACGCAATCGTCCCGCGACTGAGGAGGGCCGCCGCCATGGTGCAGCTCGGTGAGTGACCGCGGGCGCAGCCTACCGGGCTGGGGGCGGCCCGTGACCGCCTCGCGCTCTCCCCGCAGGTAGCGGCCTTCTGAAGAGCTATCGAGGCGGACACGTCGTCATCCGTTTCGCCCTCGGCGGCTGCACCAACCGGCCCTTCTACCGCATCGTAGCGGCGCACAGCAAACGCGCCCGGGACGGGAAGTACCTGGAGCAGCTCGGCTGCCTCGACCCGCTGCCCAACGCCCACGGCGAGAAGGTGGCGGGGCTCAACCTGGAGCGCCTGCGGCACTGGCTGGGCTGCGGCGCGCAGCTGTCGCGGCCCGCCGAGAAGCTCCTGGGTAGGTGCGGGGCGTTGGAAGGGCCGCGGAGTTGGTTCGCGTCGCTCAGCGCTTCTCGTTACAGGCCTGGCGGGGTTTTTGCCGCTTCACCCCATGACGATAACCAACGCCGAGAGGCTCCGGCGGCGGCGGCGACGAGCGCAGGAGTCCGTTGTGCCCCCTGCTGAGGGCGGCTCGCAGGAGCCCGGCGCTGCGGTCTGAGAGGCGCCGCGCAGCCCCGCGTGCGCACCGAGTGCCGTCCGTGCCTAAGACATTAAAGCGTGATTTGTGCCCTTCTTCCTGTGCATGTGCTGCTCTCTCCCGAGTCGGCTCTGAAAAGTTAACAGCCAATTTGGCACGCAGCAGCGATGACGGGACCTTCCCTGCTATTGTGGAGCACAGAACCACCCCAGGAGGCACAGAGTTTTCCCTAACGGCACATCACAGCTTTCATTTGCTTGCAGCGCTTCTCACGTTTGATTCCTTGGCTCTGATGCAGCGCTAGTGCAGTTTGGTGATCCGTGAGCACAGGCAAACAAATGAACTGCATTTGCATTTCTGTTTTAGTTTCCCCAGAGCAGTTCTGAACCCATTTGTTCTCTTAGAATCACAGGAGGTTCCTGTCTCTGAAGACAGCTTAAGAGGGAGGGGGTTTTAGCAGGACAGATGTGCACCTCACTGCGTTAGCACACTGCTGACCCTATCCACAGGAAGTGCTGACAGGGTGATAACAGCAAAAAGAAAGTTATACATTTAAACATGAGCCTCCAGCATAGTTACTGATAGCAGTATTTGATACAAATGCTGTCAAACTCCCCATTCTTGTAAGGTTGGTAAACATTACTCACACAAAAACATGAATTTTCACTCTAAGGCTGTGATTTCCTGTTGGCTGCTCCATTTGTTGTCTTTTGTTGGAGACCATTGAATTCCTAGGAAAAAAAGATATACAGTTACATACAGCTAATATACGTGGCAAATACTGCATCATCTCCATAGCTGACTTCTCAGTCTGCTGCTTCAGTGTACTGAAGTTTTGCATATGAACTAGTCTAACACTGCATGCTTTCTTCCTGCCCCTGGAGTACAGGTGTGTTGCATCAAAGAGGCAGACTGACAGAGATGTCACCTTCATATTTTCTGTCAGTTATTGGCACTGTTTGGGTTTGGGATAATGATACTGCCTTTCAGATCTAATCTAAAGCTCCCTGCTGGGCATCCAGCAGCCATCTGCAAGCACAGAAATTATCCCACAGTTACCATTTCTGCACAGCGTATTTTTGAAAGGAACAAAAAAGTAAAGTAAATGGGGCTTTTACCACTGCTTATATAGTGTATATCTGCAAGTCCAGCAGCTTATGCTGTTGTCTTGTGCCCTGAAATCTCACTGCAAGCCCATGAGCAGTAGCAGCTTCTGTCTGTTAAAGTCTCTGCTGCAGAAGCAGCAGCTTGGGGCAGAGGAGGAGACACAGCTGTTTTCTTAGCAAACATCAATGACAACCTTAGAGGCTGAAAAGCCAGGTTAACTGAAGCATTGTCTTGCAACCAGAGATACAGACATTTTCAATTTAGATAAATGGGTGCACGAGGTCTCCCCTGACATTTCTGCTCCAGAATCATACAGTTCTCAAGATATTTATCATAACCTGTGCAACCCATGATGATGTGATGTTATAGCAACAGCTCGGCAAAAGTCTCTCTCTAAGGCAATCTTCCCGTCTAAGGAAGAGAAAAGATAATTTAAGAAAGCCACCTCAGACCTGAGGGCAATTTCTTCTTTTTCCCTTTCTAATTAAGTGTATCTCCAATTTAGTACGTGATGATTACTTACATGTTAGTAGAAAACAGCGTTTAAACTCTTCAAGCAGTTCCCAACAGAGGCTTTGGGTGTTTGGGCTTTTGGTGTCATTCTGGGTGCTGAAGGAGTGTTGGTTCTTCTTACAGTCCCCCTGTTTTTTTCTCCTGGAAAATATCTTTTTCTTCTTTTAGAGTTTCAGCAGAAGCTTCAGTTATTTGGGTCTCTCTTTTGAGGCAGGCAGAAGTTGAATGAACTACAGATCAACTGAAATGGTTACATCTAGCTTCATCACAAACATGAGACAACTCATTAGGCACTTCTTCCTTCTCCCCATTTTCCCTTCTTCTGTACATGTCATATAAATACAGATATGAGCACCCACAAATCACTTCCATTAAGCAACCTTTAATTTTTATTAAGTCATTATCATTAAACTTTATAAAGTCTAAACTATGGCACAGCATGATACCGCTTTCTTTCCTCAACTCTTCCCTCTTCCTTCTACCAGCAGCCAACAGCTTTAGACAATTTGAAGAGTACATTCCAAAAAGTAAACATCGTATTGCAGCTCAGTTCAGCAGTGACCACACAGTAATTTCTGTAAAACACAGCATGTATGACAAAGGAGAAGACCAAGCAAATAAGTAATTCCTGGTTTTGTTGTTGTTTTGTGTTTATGGATTTAGTGCAACTTCCAAGGAATTCTGCATCATGGACACCAACAACTAATGCATACCCAAATTAAGACACACTGATGTTGAGTTTAAAATAGAGAATGTTACATATATTCAACTGTGCAATGCACTTCAGCATAGCAGTAGTTTTATAACTGTATGTAGATGTATTTCCTACTCTTATTTACAGAGGGAGGAGCAACAAACACGACCATCAAATATAACAGAATATCCCAGGTTGGAAGAAACCCACAAGGATCCTTCAGTCCAACCCTTGGCTCTGCATAGCACCACCTGAAATTCAAACATTTTGTCTGAGAGCCCTGTCCAGCTGCTTGTTGAATTCCCTCAGTTGGGCTGTGACCACTGCTCTGAGGAGCCTGTTCCAGTGCTGGAAGATACAATGATATATACATATTGACATACAGCTTGATAAATACATTGATTTTTTTTTCCTTCTACTGTTTTTCTCTTTAAACATCCTTGTTTGCAACTAAATCATCTGAAATCCCAGCTATGTAGAAAAGGAAAGCGTTCACAATCCACTCAGTGCAACAATACTGTCTACAAAACTTAGAAGGAGAAAACATTTTGAGAACTAAACACCCCTTTAATAGGAACAAAACGATCATTTTTGAGTTCATAAGTTTGCTAAGACAAAGAATTGAAGGTTACACAGCAGACCAAAAAAATTCCCACAGTCATCTCTTTAGATTGTTGGAAATGAGGCACTCAGAAGTGCCAAACGTGCTGCTCATACACCAGGTCGAGTTTCATCCCAAACATTCTTGGGATAAGATGTCCCATAATGAAAGCTGCATGACACAGGTGTTCCTGCAGGTGGGACAGGGAGCCATGCTTTCCCAGCCAGAATAGATGGGGTCAAGGTGAACAGTCATCAGTCTGACACCCTCTGTCTCTGAATGCTTGGCTTCATAACTTCAGAAGCGTTCCTCCAGGGAAGTAAATACCAAATAGCATAGAACTGATCACAAAAAAAAGCAGGGAGCTGATAGTAAAAATGAAAAGTTCTTACATACATTGTTTTAAGCACTATAGTGCACCACAACAGCTAAAGATTATGCAAGTTATTTCATCTTGGTATTGCACAACACGCATAAAAATAAACTTAGGTGAACAGTCAAGAAAACTCACTGAAAAAGGAATGGACTTCCAGAAAAACTGCTGCCTCTGTCCCTACTAGATAAGAACAAAAAGAGCCTCTAAAGGGGTGCCTGCACAGTACTCCTGAGCACTAGAATGCTCTTCTGCCATGGGGAACTTTTGCATCCTACTGGAATGTGAACGCAGACTGACAAGAATCCTATAAATGGTTCTAGCTTACATGTTTTCACTTTTGTTCTTCAATTGAAAGACTGTAGAGATTACCTGCAAATTGTGTAAGATCTCAGGCATTTACTACCTTCCATAGCCAGAATAATTAAGAGTTTCCACAAGTAACAAAACACCTCCAGTCCAAGTAATAAGTCTCAGCAGTTTCACAGAGGTATGCAGGTGTAGCTCCAGCTGACAAATCACTACTTCCTAAGCAGATTTTAAAACGTCAGAAGGTACAACTGTACGAAACATACGGATGATGTGCCAGTGGCTTCTGGCTTTCACATAAATGATTTCTCTTCTATTCTTAACCTAATTGTGAGAATAAACTCCTACCCAAGGAAACTTGGCTCACAAAACCCCCTCCTACCCATCCTGCTAACTCAACGTAAGCCGTTACAGTGTCAAAGCCTAACGTAGAAGTATGTGCAGATCAGGAACCATCACTGTGGACCACAGTCAGAACTTACAGAGCAGGGTTTGGAGCCAGTCGCATCCCACAGCAGCTCCTTGGAGCAGTTCTGCTGGCTGGAGCTCGGTGCACACGGAAGCCCAGCCATGGGCCTTCAGAGTACTTGCATTATGCTCCGAAGTTCTGAAAAGCCAGGCCAGGGTCAGGTCTAACATGCGGAAGGTGAGACCCACGTGCCCCCTGAGTAAGGAGTAGGAGTTGTAGCCCTCAATAACCAAGGGCCAGGCAACTTCTGCTCGCAAAGCTGGTGGCACACCATGGCCCTGGTCCTCCCACAGCAACGGAGCCCCACAGCTCACTGCCACCCGAGGAATCGGGATCCACCTGCCTGAGCACTGGTCTTCTGGGTCCCCCACCTCAGGTCAAGGAAACATTGTGCCCCCGAGGAAAAATGGCACTGTATGGCAGTTGGAGGGAAGGTCCCACAATGCCACCAATGGTTCCCACTGCTGTGACCACAAGTCCTGGAAACATAGATCAGCCTTTATCAACTTGTGAAAGATGCACAGTGCCAGGCACTGCCCTCCTGCAGGCAGGGGAAAGTTCAGTGAAACTGGCACACACCTTTTCTGTGGCTTCCTGTGCCCACTGCCAGCACAGTCACCCACAGCCCACCTCCAGTCGCTGCCATCCTAAGGGCACACGAGCCCACCTTACCATGACGGTTGAGGACAAGAATGGTGCAAGTGAGGTAGCCAAGGATGCAGCAGCTTCTCCCATTTATTGGTCCTGCACACAGGGAAGGAGTGGGCTCCGCTCCTCGTTGGGTGGCAGCTCCTCAGCAGACAGGGTTGGCTCATAGATGACGCAGAGAGAGGAGAAGAGGCAGCCCAGGAAGGACACCAGGCTGGCAAAGTACATGGTGCCGCTGGCGCTGCCCACAGCTGTCGTCAGTGGCCCCATGGCCAGGGCCACCAGGATCTGCGCCAAGAAGTACTGGCAGCTGAGCAGGGAGATGTCAACACCCATCCCACGCCGTGTGCCCTCCGTGTGCGAGCCTGCAAACTTCAGGGAACACAGTGTGAGGAGGTGTCACCAGGAGCCCCATTCCCCATCCTGCCTGGGGCTCACCTCACAGCTCTGGTAGTAGTCGCAGAGTAGGGAGTAGGGCAGCGTGCAGAGCGTGGCAAAGAGAATGCCGTAGGTCGTGCACAGTGACAGGACTACATAGATGTTTCTGGAGAGCGTGGCCAGCCCTGTGCCCAGCCCAAAGGCCAAATATGCAATGAAGTACAGCGTCCGTGTGCTGAACCGCTCCTCCAGCTTCTCCAGTGCAGCTGCAAGACAGCAGAGCAGAAGTTTGCAATGAACCATGACTGTCCCTGCAGTTGGCAGGACTGCACCCTTGGGCCCCACAGCCCAGACACTGGGGCAGCCACAGCTCAGCAGTAACCATCACAGCTTTGTGTAACAGCAGCTTGCCTCGCAAGCACAAAGGCAGACAGGCGGTGCTGGTGGTGCACGACACCACGATGCTCCATCAGAGGCACACGGGCACTGAATGCCATTGCACACAATCTGTGTCTATGCTGGCTGCACATATTTCTGGATTCAACGTACACTCAAAATGTCACTCATGAAGGGAACTATGTTATAACAGAAATGTGTTATCACTGCACTGCTGCCCTCCTCTGCTGTCAGAGTGAGCTACACTAAGTAGCACAGATAACATGGTGATAACCCTGCTTCAGCTACCGTGCCACATGGCAGGCTGTGTGCAACAGAAAAGCCAGAGCTGTTACTGCAGAAATCCTGCCTAAGGAACAGGTGTATCTTTCTGATAGGAGTGTCCAGGATGACTGTATGCAGTACCTGAATAGAAAGCAGCACTGAATGCATAGATGCACATTCCCCAGCAGCCCATGGTGACCCCAGCGTTGTACTTCTGATACTCAACTGAGTTGTGAGGGGCTTTTGGATTCCCTTCAAACACTACTTCTCCCATGAAGTCAGTGTAGAAGAGCAACATCCCCTCGAATGAGAGCCATCCTGAAAGAAGCCAGAAGTAATCCATTAGGACTGCAGATTACCATTCTCCTCTTGTAAGCCATGTACTACAATACAAATCACAAGTGGAAACAGTTCGTGCAATGTATTACATAACGTTTAGCCACATTTATCTGAGACTGCTGCTTCCTGTGCATTATGCTGTTTGTCAAGATGCTCATGATTTTAACTATCAAGATTTATCCTTTGAATTCACATATGGAATCCTATAGGCTTAATGCTGGCCATGGGCCACTGGCTTAGCAAGAAAGAAGAATCAATCACAGTCTGAACTGCCTGGCTAAGTTTCACATGGTTGCTCATTAGATATTAGTTCCAGATGCTGTTGTCATCCTGCTACAGGCACTCATGTAGCGCTGCATTCTATGCACTCTCACAGCCTGTTCTGTTGCCTCTATACACATGGTGTCAAAGGGAGAAAACTGAACGCTCATCTCAAACATAAGCAGGGAAACACAAATAATCTTGTAGAGTTCTGCTCAGCAACTTCAGATTCAGAGCATTAAAAACCCATGTTGTTGCAATCTGAAGTTATTGGTTCAGTGTTGTTCCTCATTCTAGCATAAACGCTCCATTTAACAGATGCACTAATCTAAACCAAAGTTATTCCTTTTCTAAGCATGTCAGTTTTACAGTTCTAGGGGTTTTTTTTTTCCATCGTTTTTTTCCCAACATTCTAAGACAATAAACAACCAAGTACCTTACTGATGGATGCATACGGAACAAATTACGTTCTCTTCAGTTTGCAGCCATTGCAGCAATAAAATACTTACAATCACACAACATAAACCACCTCATGGTGAAAACTAGAATGAACTTTCTCATTACCTAGGAAGTGGTTGATGCAGAGGTTACGAAGAGCCCTGGGCATGTGGCAGATGGTTGAGCAAAGAAGTCTCATGGAGAGTGGCTGCTCGGAGGTCTCACCTGATCCATTCAACTCACTCTCATACTTAACACCATCCAGCAGGATATTAGCAACCTGCAACATAAGAACTTCCAGGTCAACGGACACTAAGAATAATCCAAATGACCTTTGAGCAAACCTACACAGTGTTGTGCATCTATTTAATGATCTGAAGGTTAAACTGCTGCTCAGTTCCTCATCGGGGGATTAAGAACAGTGTATCCAGCTAAGAATGTCTGCAAATTCAGCCTTAGAACAAGTATTAAATGGCAGCACTGTGCTACAGCTTTCAGTGTACTTGAAGCAGTACCCTGCACTGTTCCAGAGTATTTGGAAACCATGCTGAGATGCCAGCATAGGAAAAGCACCAATTTCATTTCTGTTAATATAAGCTGTATTCACAGCCAGGTGAATTTGGTCCCTGAAGTTTTAGAGACGGTGAAGTAAGAGTGGACAGTTTTAACTGACACACTGTCACTGCTCACTGTCCTCAGCAGCTGATTCTACAGGCACAGCGCATACAAAATCCTGACCCTAACGAAGTCCGCTCTCACAAACTGAGAAATACAGCAACCAACAAACAAATCAACCAAGCAAAACCAAAAATAAACAAACAAAAGAAATCAAACCAAACAAAACCTTTCCCCTCTCCCTCCCCAAAGGAAAAGAAAAAAAGAAAAAAACCAAACGGAGGACAGTTTACCTCATCCTGGATCAAAAAAAATGGGTCAGCATACAGAGGTCTCAGACTTTCCAAGTAATCACCAACAGTGGGAGGTGAGGTCAGAGTCTTATCCCTGGGTAAAGAAAACCTCACCTCCCTGATGAAACCAGATGCAATGACTGCCATAAGGAGAAGCTCATGGGAGATTCCTATCCCTGGCCCTATCTTGCAGGTATTTCTGTGGAAAGGGAAGATACAGGCTCAATAAAAATGTGTCCTTTTCTGCTCTCACATGGTAGCTTCCTAAGTGGTGAAGGAGAGCTAAAAATGCCAACCTAACTTTCACACGTTGCCTGAAGAGGAGGGGAACGCTTCCATACCTGCTCTCTTGAGCAGGCAGATGACAGACCACTAATGAACTGTAATTCATACCCTATCCACTATTTTTCCAAGAAGTCTTTGCAGGTATTCTGTTCCCCCAATGACTTCTATAAGCAAACTGTCACGAGCAGTCTTTAGCAACGACTTTATGCACTAAACATTTAAAAATCATAGAAAGAGATTAAACGAACGCTTGGGTTTACGTGGTCATATAACTGGTTTTCTGCCCTTACCTGTTGGCTGAAAGTTACATTTCTTCTTCTGCTACTGTCTGGACAATGTCCTGTTACGATATCTGGAATGGCCAAGCTCTGAGGTCTTTTCAGGATGCCTGACGACCGTGGCTTTATGGCATCCAAGGAGCCCACCCTCAGTGCCTCTCCATCAGGACCCGCAGTTATGCTCCTCTCCCCTTGCTCCAGAATTCCATTTTCTTGTTGGTAACAACCATCTGGCACCCGAGGAAAGCTGACACTGACAGGCTGCCTGGGCAAGCTAGATGGAAGTGCTAAGTAACTACTGTGCCCACCTGTAAAACAGTCTATAAGCACACTGTCAATATTTGAAGTCCCAAATGACGATGCAAATTCGTTAATTCCTGTCAAGGAATTGTCTCTGCTGACAAAACTGCCATACTTAGGTGTGAGTGGGCTGAGGGGAGAAACGGGGCTTGTAAAACTTGCATATAAGTGAGCTGAGTTACGAGAAGCAAAGTTTTCACTTACACCCTCTTCAAAGAGAGGTGGAGAAGGAGGGAGAGGAAGACTTGGACTCTTCATCACCTTTTTCTTCCTGCTAAATGACCCTAGGGGTCTTTCTGGAATGCTAATTAGAGTCAGCACAGTAGTGATAGTCAGTATTATTGATGTGAAGACATAGATGACACGCAGTTGCCCTCCCACAGCTTTTCCAAAACTGGTTTTATCCCAATGTATTCCTCCAATAACATAACCAAAGCCACCTCCAAGACCTGGTGGAAAAACAGAGCTGAGATTATCTTCCCTAGCCAATCCATATAGTCAGTAATAGCACAGTACCACTTGTTTAATGATTTATGAGGAAAATCCAACATGCTACCTCTGTTTTACCACTTAATCCCTTTTCAACTCAAATGCAGCAATAAACACACTTATCTGCACCACATGAACAGTCTTTCTGTACAATGTACAGAAAGAGGGAGAAGGATAGTAATACAAAAGCAATGATATAAATAACTTTAAATGCAAGTTCTTCCTTTGTTGAGGACAACTCAATTTACCAGCACCAGCTATCACTCTCACTCCTCATATGGTGAAAGCATTCACGCTGACTTCTTTCTAAAGAACATGTTAAAGAACACAGAACTGTCTCCTGACAGACAGGAAAACTAGACTAGGACACTACAGCAGTAAGAGAGCAGAGTGCATGCTACAAACACTTTGCTCTCCAATACAGCAACCAAAAATAACCCCATTTCCCACACTTGTGATAAGCTGAACCTCCTGCCTGAGGGGTCATTTTTGTAGGGTTATAAAAGACACAAGGAATCTTAAGGCACAATACAGGACTGTCTTGTTTGACTTTTGTCAAAAGTCAAAAAGTCTTTTTCTTTCAAAGTTAATTCTTGCTTTCTCTACAGGTATTCAGCTTATGCTTATACAGAAGACGACCAATAATTTACACTTATCTTTCTCACAGCAGGGCTTTTTGGACTCATGTCATCCAGGAAGCATCGAGAAACCATACCTGCTAACAAAGCATGGATGTTGAGGCCCCTGTCTTGATCCACTGGGCTGCATACATCCATCATATAGGCATGGCTGGGATTGTCTGCTGAATCTGCACTGAAGTCCATGAGGACAACACCACAGACTGTAAGAACGATCCCCCATTTGTGGTTATTCACAGTGTCAGACAAGGCACTCCCAATATCTCTGCCATTCAGCATAAGCGAAAGCCCGAGCAATGCACCTGGGAATAAAAACAAGTTAAATTAGAATCAACCAGCTACTTCTAAACAAGAGCAACTGCATGGTTCCAAGTTCTCTAAAAGCATTATATTACTCACACAGCCCTGCAGTGAGCACTGTTGATGCTGTTCATACCGTCACAGACCTGGGAATGCGCGTGGCTCACGGGATATACAAAATCTTTTCACACTGATAAGCCTTACAAGTGCCTGGAGTTGTGGCCAGTGAAAGGAGAACACTCCTGACCTTCAAAACATCACCTCTTCCAACTGTGACCAAACAGTGGATCTCCTGACAAAACATCGTTACCTGTGACACTCACCGTCTTCTTCAGACCCACAATACTCAACTTGAGAGGCCCACAGCTACATATCATAGCAGAGAGATGCATAATCTTCCACCATACAATCATTTCTACAGTACGCACCTACTGCTAAGACCAGAATGAAAGGTCTTCTCCTGCCAAATCTTGATGTGCATCTGTCACTCCAGGCCCCCAGAAAAGGCTGCAGCAGGAACCCTAAAAAAGAAAGTGACCATTACATCGAATTCTTCTACAAGTCTGTTTCACAGGGGGCTTTAAATGGGTACGTCTGAAGACAGTGAAAGGCAGGACAACATGGCACAGTGATATCTCCAGTCAGTATCAGTCACTCTGACGTACAGAGTTTAGTGCCTGGCATTTCTCACACTGGGGACTGGATAATACAGTGCACCACTGCTCATCCAGGACTGTTATGACAATGCAATTCACTCTCTGTCACCAGCTGAAAAGAGTACAACAGTGTTAAGCTCCTTTCCTTACACTATTTTCCAGCTATTTTCCTTATACCCCTTACACTGAAGATCTTTTCCTAAATTAGCTTGGAAGACAGCAAGAATAAACATGTAAGTTGAAAAGGTACCTGTCTGTGAGTAGGGGCCTATCTACTCTCTTCTTCTGAAGCACATCCTAGAAGGACAGGCAGAAAAAAAAAATCTCCAAGCAGCCACAGCCATCCTATGGTTCTTCCTGTAACAGATATAACTCCAACCACCCCAACTCTGCTACGTAATCCAATGACAGTAACAGCAGTGATTAACAGCCTTTCATCACTGGAATACCTCATTTGTTCTGGAAAACTCAACTAGAAGACAAAATCACTACACTTTAAACACATCCTGTGAGTGTGTCTCTGTACATTTCTTTCCACAGGGATGTAAACGTATGCACCGATCTTTTCTGCTTTTTTTTTTTTTAGTACATGAACTCAGTAACAAAAGCTTACTTATTCTTCCACAGCATGTGACACACTGAGAAGTTGATAAAAAACAGACCTTCTGATCATACCAGGCCCACTTCTGGTAAGATACAGCAGTAACTATTTTCCATCCCATTGTCTAAAGCTATGGCTAATACATCTTAAACATGACATCACAAGGAATATATTTCTGAAGAGCTGAGGCAGAGAAAACTGTATGTACCCCCCCACAGGGCGGAATAAAACTAGAGGAAAGGAACAGCATACCCAAAAGTTACCTAGTATGGGGCTGATGAACCACACCATTCCATACAGCTGGTCTGGCAGCCCCATCTGAAGCAACACAGGTGTAACATAGGCTGTTTCCATGGCATAGCTAAACTCAAGCCCAAAGAGAATACACCCATTAAACAGGAGTTCCAGGAAAGATCTCTGAGGCTGGAGATCCCCAAAGCCAATCAAGTCAGTAGGACACGGAGTATTTGGTGGTGGCGGTGGCGAAGGGCGGATGAATTTTCTCCTTTTTGGATGTCTCTTGAAGTTATTAGCCCGGTGACTTAGGTGCTGTGTGACTGACCCAGGATAGCCTGGAACCTGTGACCTCCATGTTTCCTGAGAAGCCACACTTGGCAAAAGTGCAGCATCGTTGACAGCAGGTGTTGCAGATGGTGGAATCATCATGGCTGAGAGGCTGTAAGAAAAATAGCTCAGAATAAAACGGTTGAAATAGGAAAAACTTTGTGGAATTTCCTTTACTGAAGTTCAGGCCATTTCTGAGTTATTTCACATATTGGGTATACAGGGAGCAGAACCCCGATGGGCTGAACTCCAGACCAACAGTGCCATGAGATACACGCTGCTCTCACCTCCAGCTTCGTGCTGCATTCTTATTTCTGTCCTGGCAGGACACAGCACTTCACAGCCACAGCACAGTGCTTTGCTGGGACACAGCAGAGCCTTAGGCTGTCCCCAATGTACACCGTTACCATTAGAGAAATACTGGTTGCTCCTTCCACACCATTTTTTAAAAGTGTAGGGCAAGCAAGTTCAACCCACTGCCTCCTGCTGAAGGCCAGGTCAAACACTATTAAACAGTGCTCCTTTCCTTTATATTTTAAACTGCAGTGAGTTCAAAGACATGACAGAAGGAAAAACCAAGAGCACAAGTTCTTCTGCCTCACAAACAGAGGACAGCAACTCAAATGAAACACAGCAAGGAGCCCCTCCAGCCTGACCCTGGGTGTCTCCAGGGATGGGGCATCCACCACCTCTCTGGGCAACCTATGCCAGAGCCTGCCCACCTTCATTTTAAAAACTTCTTCCTTACATCCAATCCAAATCTCTCTTTCAGTTTGGAATCATTTCCCCTTGCTCTGTCACAGCAGACCCTGCTAAAGGCACCATCCCCTTCTTTCCCACAGCCCCTTTAGATACAGTCTCCCTGAAGCCTTCTCCAGCTGCACAGCCCAGCTCTCAGCCTGTCTTCGCAGGGAGCTGCTCCATCCCTCAGAACATTTCTGCGGCCATGCTGTGGATGTGTTCCAAGAGGGCCACTAATGACGCTCATCACGCATGCACCTTAACCAACAGGGTCTTGACAACACATGGCTCTGACACCAACCTGCATAGCTATGGTGTGTCACGAGCAGGGACACAAACCCACTCATGTTTTGATCCCTGGTGGGCCTCAAACCCTCACCGAGGGCTGGAACTGACTCCCGTTGGCCCCGCACTACTGCACAGCCCCCCCAGGCTTTCCACCACCAAACAAACCAGCCCAGCGCCATGTCCATCACAGTTTACAGGTAGGCCGTACCCTCAGGTAATGTCACCATCACCCCACAGCTGTGACGGAACTCACCCAGCAGGAAATCAGAGGGGCCTCCCCGAAAACGCACCAGCGGACTCGGCGGTCCTCACAACTCCTCCAGTCCTGCTACCACGATGGCAGTTCAGAAAGCCGAGGTCAGGGAGCTCCTCGCGGCACACGGCCAGGAGCCGGGCACAAAACACACAAACCGCAGACGTCCGGCGCGGGACGTTCGCGCCAACCCCGCGAGCCGCCGCCCCTGGAAACGCGGGCTGCAGCCGAGCGCCGCGTTACGCAGCGCAGAGCCCGGCCTGCAGGCAGCCCGGCTGTCGCCGCGTCCCCGTGCAGCATTCGGACCTCCTTGGGCCCCGGCCGTCGCCCGATGCCGACGATCCCCGTACCCGACAGCTGACGCCGCCCGCTCGCGGCCCTCCCAGGCTCCGCTCTCAGCCCGGCGCTCCGCTCCTACCGCGGCGGACCGTCCGTCCGAGCTGCCGCAGGCCCCGAACGGATCGCTGCGGTCATTATTCCGACGGAGCACCGCGCGCCGAACACGGACATCTCGGGCCGGACTCCCGCAGCACCGGGCGCTCCGGGCCCGGCCCCGCAGCCTCACCTCGGGCCACGCCGCGACGCCGCCGTTGCCGCTCCCGTCCCTCCCCCGGCGGCGGAAGCGGCCGCAGCGCCGGCGCCGCCCCCAGAGGGGAGTTCGGCAGCAAAGCGGGCGGTGCGCAGTTAAAGGGGCGGTAAGGAGGTGGATGGGCTGCGGCGGGCCGTACGGTGACAGGACGGGGGGAAGGATTCAAGCCGAAAGAGGAAAAAGTCGGGACTAGAGATAAGGAAGAAGTTACTTGCGCTAAGGCACGAGATGCCCAGAGTGGCTGTGAAGGCTCCTATGGAGGCATCCTAGGCCCAGCTGCACGCCAGCCTGTGAGACCGATTGTGCCTCGGTAGGGGTTGGACTCGATGACTTTGAGGTTCTTCCCAACCCCTGCAATCCCGTGATGCAGGCTGTGCTTTGTCTGACATCAGAAGCTGCTCACAACACTGAGCTTTGAGCTGAGGTGCTTTGATAGGCCTGCAGAGCAGGGCAGGTTGGCGCTCTGTGTGACCCAGCAGCCTTGTGGATCACAGCGGCTTTGTCTGCACACATACTCCACAAACTGTTCTCCCGCTCCTACAGGACAGCAGGAACCTGCTTGTATAGAAGCAAAGTCATCAGGAAAAGCCGTGCCGTTGCGATCATATCCCCTTCTGCTCCTTCAAAATGAATAATCACCAAGCCTGCTTCAAATCAGTCTTCACAATATCCAAGTCAGTAGGACTGTCACACAGTGAACAGCTTTCCTTCTTGTAGCATGGAAGAACTCTGAGTTTCTCATGCTCAGAAGGAAACGCCACACGTTTCTTACTCTCTATGAGGAATCATGGCCTGGCTTCATCTGTCACTTCCTACCACCCCAACCTGGCAGTAATCCAAAGAAAGCTACATCCTTCATTTACTACTCCGCATTGAAGTGACAGTTAATTACTGTTCATTCATTAAAGTCTCTCAAAAAGCAAAACACAGAAGTGTCTCTCTTACTTCAGAGAATGAGATTTGTGGTGGAAGGTTCAAGTAGGAAGAACCACTCCTTATTTGTTAATAAGCAGAAAAGTCAGCTTTAAAGCACTCAGGTTTTGAAGAAATGCAGAGTATTTGACTGAGTCAGCTCTGCTGCACTGAGCCTTAGTGCCATAGCCAGTTTGGGAAACTTATTAGCAATTATATTCTTCAGTGAGAGGGTGGCCATAGCCACAAACCTGTTAGCATTCAAGAAGCATTTGGATAATGCTCTTCAATACCTGGCTTCATTCTTAGGTTGTCCTGTGTGGAGCTGGGAGTTGGACTCTGTGATCCTCATGGTTCTTCCCAGCCCAGGATGCTCGGTGATTTTACGAGATTCAGTCCAGATACGCGAATGCTTTTGTTCCATTGCCAAATCCAAATGAAGTCTCCTTTCCACATGTACTACACTGAAGAAGTTTATATTATTGTAAACATACAGTCAAGTCAGCAAGGTCTGTGGCTCACGCTGTATTTGCACTGTGTTCAACAAAGTATGACAGAAAAAAAGCAAAACAAGTTTAAACAAGCATTTCAATTATATGCTCTTAATGCTTATATGGTGAGAGTTTACCATGTAAATTACACCACCCTGGCTTCCCTTACATGTCAACTGAGTGGGTTCAAGGAAGTCAGTGGGAGGTGAATACAATGTAAGAACATAAAGAAGTCACACACAAGCCAGTTTACACACCACCTGCATGTCTAGCCCTAGCATACTGTCATAGGACTTTTATCTGAGCTATTAAGCAGTTCCTGAGCGTGGATTCCACCAGACTCCTAAACTGCCTACATTAATTAATGCAATTATATGTTTAAAGATGCTTTAAAAAGCAGAAATATCCCCACTGCTGACAAATACACAAAGCAGGGCACAGTAAAAGCTGGTGGACATTACTTTCAATAAGCTGGCTTTTTAACAAAGCGCCACTTTGGTTTGTGAAAAACTGGAACATTGCCATTGAACAAACATCAGTAATCTGTCAGTCTAAGCTAGAGCTGCTATACCAAACTGAAACAAGCAATTACTGTCTTCCCCGTCACGTTACCTAACAGCTTGATTCCTTGTTTCTTGTATGAATCCTGTAAGCTACAGCTTCCGGCCATTGCATCCAGTCATTATCAAGATCAAAGCTTTCTTGGCTACCAGGAGTTATTTGTGCAATTCAGACTTCTAATCTTCTCCTGGAGAAGGAAAACAGAGTTCACATCGTTAGCGAGTCCCAGAAATCCTCCAATCGCTGCTTTTCTGAAGGCCAAGCACAGGGTGGCACAAGGAAGGATGGGGCCACTGCTGTACTGCGGGATGGGGGGAGCGATGGCCAGGCAGCACACAGAGGACAGACCTACAACACCTGGTTCCATACAAGCACAGCTAATATTGATCCATCTATTGATCCATGCAGGCCCATCACACCAGCACTGCCTTTGGTGGGACAGGCATGGCACTGCACGCAAGTGGCACCACAGAGGTGCTGCAGCAGGCTGTGTTCTATAGCAGCTGGGCTCAGGAGTGGCTCAGTATACACACACATGCAGGGGATTCCACGTTCATGCAAGAAAGTCAGTGTGGCACTGATATCAAGGGCACTGCAGGAAGATGGGAGGTGTGCCTGCCTCCTACTATGCATTTATTGAGACTGTGTTTTATAATTGACTGTGTACTTTGTATAAATTGACTTTGGGAGCCTATGGGAAGTACTCCCCCACTTCCTTGTGTTTACCACAGAGGAAATGAGAAACTCACCAGGTCTCTAAGGTCAATTACTTTCTTCAAAACCCAACACTGCTCTGTGTTCCTGACTCAGTGCAGTGTTCAATTCCATGCTGAGATAATATCTATATCGCATTACAGGATGAGCTGCAATAGCACTGCATGTTAATTGCAACGCACAGACTGCTCCCTTCTGTCTTTTATACCAGCTATCAAGAAAAACCAGAAAGTCTACTTTTACTGTTTTTAATTTAGCCTCTTCCATCCATACTGACTGCCTATCAGACAAGAGAGGCAGAGGGAGTCATCCATACCCACCTCTGCACAGTTTCTCAAGCCTAAGGAGAAATATTGCTACCAAATCTAGTCCATGAACCTGAACCAATACCTTCTGTTGTACTGTCAATGAAAGGGAAGGAAACAACATACTCTAACAAGAGTTATAGTATCTCTTTCAATTTAAAAATCACATTGTTCTACCAAGCCAAAAGACATTTTGTCATTCTCTTGCCACTCTGTTCCAGCATTTTGTAAATTCCCACTATGAGAACAGATCAATTCAACAGTGGCATTTTCTGCATTACGCTCTGCTCTAATCTCACTGCACAAAGTTTGTCTTGCTGAGCACACTGCACCCTCTTCCACACTTCAATATAGGGTTTTGGGGTACCCCGTGTTATGTAACACCTGGTCTTGTGTTATACTGACAGCACTGCTGTGGATTCTGCCATTAGCGACTGCCACAAAAACAACTGTGGTATGTGCACTCACAGCTGATGATCAGGAGCCTGTTGTCACCTTTCTCTACGGCCAGCTGACCGAAGTCATGACCTCCATATGTGTAACACAGATGGCAGAGCAGCTGTTTACTTCTGTTTTGCACAGCATGCACCTATGGAGCAACGCACCGATTACATAATAGTAAGTCATAAACTACAATGAGTCAGACTGCTAAGTCCATGCACTGCGTAGATGAGATTTTGACTCCCATCACCTGATAACATAATTGCTTAATTAGCTCCTCCTGAATGCTATGGCTATGGTAGAGGAATGTTCCCATGTAGGACATGGTAAATCTGAATACAAGAAGCAAGTGAGCAGTGCAAAGGTAAATGATTCCTCCACAGCAAAACAGGCATATCTTCCAGCTGTATTTCCTATGCTGATCTGCTCCTTGCTCTCATGTTTTAGGGACAGAATAGAAACAAGACCATAAGAGTCTGGTCACAAAAACACTATCCGAGGAAGTCTCTCCAATAATGTTTATTCCCAGGCAGTTGTTTTTCTGAAATTCTACTACATGCTTATGGAGGTAAAGGGGTAATCCCTGTGCTGGCAGGGTTTTTGAAACACCTGCTGCATCACTGAGCATTATGCTACTGCTTTCCTTCAGGCAAGTGGAAAAGACTCCGTTAAAGTGGTGCTTATCACACCGAGCACAGGGAGACTCCACACCTCTCTGGGCAGCCTCTGCCAGTACTCCATCACCTGCACAGTAAAGAAGTGGTTCTTGATGTTTAGACCGAACCTTTTGTGTTCCAGTTTATGCCCAGTGCCTCTTGTTCTGGCAGTGGGCACCACAGAAAATAGTAAGGCTCTTCTGCACTCTTCATTTGATATTGATAAGATCTCCCTTCTCCTGAGCCTCACCCAGGCTGAACAGTCCCAGCTCTCAGCCCCATCTCAGAGGAGAGGTGCTCCAGTCCCTTGATCGTCCTGGTGGTCTTTTTGGATGTTCCAGTATGTCTAGGTCTCCCTTGCACACGGGGGTCCAGATCTGGACACAGAACTCCAGGTGTGGCTGCACCACTGCTGAGCAGAGCAGGTTGGTAGAAAGCCTCACAGGTCTGGCTGTTTGAGATCTACTAGTACTCTTTCACACTGCAAACTCATTAGATTTTAAGAACATTTCCAAGCTTATAAAGCAGCTGAGCTGACCTAACACAGATGAATGCACAGGAAGCCACAGGAAACTGAAGCACAACCAGTTACCTGCAGATGAATACCATTTTTCACAAAGACAATACAAAATGCTGACGAAATGCAGATATTCACTTTTGGGACTATTTGCTGGCTGGTGAGTTATAAGCTTTCACTTCAGGCTGCAACCATCTGCCAGCTGACCGGCTGCTAGCTAAGAGTGATTCAAGCAATAACCGTGCTGACACCGCTGCTTTCCCAGTTCTACCACCTGTGATTCATGCTTGCACTCCCCCTCTCCTAGGTGAGCACCCAGGGGCCTCTCGTTGGAGCTCTGGTACATGCTGCTCCACAGCAGGTCTCCTTTCATCTAAAGCATCACCACGCTCAGAGGCCCTTGGGATGTCTCCATTTCAGCAATAACAAAGAAGAGTTAATAAAGAGTGAGGAAGTGTCAGGAAAAAAAAATAAAATACATTTTGCTTTGACTCCAGGGGAGAGGGAGCTGGCATCTTTTTGAGAAGCAATTTCCTGAGTGATGCTGTGGGCAATACAGGAAAAGCTGTCATGTTATGTCAGGGATCCAACACCCACTGCTTCCACAGCACCAAATGCTCCTTTCCCTCCTGGCTAAAATGCACATTAAAGATGATGAGCCTGCAACACTGAGGGGAGTTGAACCACAATCAGATCACTTTGCTTGGCTAAAAGTGTTAAATACAGACACAAAAAACCTGACAGCATTTGTGAAGCCCTGGAAAGGAAAATCCAGGTTACATGTGTCTATTTGTAATAAAGTAACCTTCTATGAAAAAAAGAAATCCACACAGGTCATGCTCCCTTCCCCAGATCCCCACACACTGCCCAGACAGCAGAGAAGTTTCTGTAAAACACCAGAATTCACCCACATTTGCTGTCACTTCAGCCTCTTATTAACAAGGAAGAGCAGAAGCCCCCACGCAAACTGACAGGACAGGACGCAGTGGTTCTGAGACTTTTCTGCTGAATTTCCTTAAGAAACATTTATATACTAATAATTTGTGGATATCTTGAGACTTCCTGGGGTCAGAGGCATGCAAATTCCCAGGAGCAGAATATCCCAGTGCCACAAGCAGCCACAAAAAAGGTCCAGGTTTTACAATTCCCAGCAAATTTGCTTGCCAACTGCTAGACAAGTGCTTCACGAGTCTCCGAGCATCACCTACCCTTCACCCCATACCTTAAACTACATGCATCCTCACCTCATGTCTCATAGTTTGCCCATAAAGATCGTGGCCTAGATTTGCTGCTGATCAGAATCTGGAGGGATCAAAAAAAATGGAAGGAGCCACAAGATAGGACAGACAGAAGGTTGCTGAAAGGAATGAAAGACATCGACAGCACAAGGAGCCTGGAAAGAACAGTGATCCTGATTGCTGCACACATGCTGAACTACGAGTCAAGGAAAAACCTCTTTTTTTGTTAGGAATTACCAAAAAGTTCTCAGCACACCGAGCAGAGTCCCACAGCAGTATATCTGCACCACTGTCAGCACCTGTGTGAACAGTTTTCTTAGACTGCCATACAAGACAGCTTCAAGGAATCTTTTCTGAATATTCGTTATGCAGGAACAGACCAGACCTTGGTGTCTCTGTTAACTTCCTGAGTCACCTCCATGGGTTACCAGCCAGAAAACTCAACGTGAAATGTGGTCTGATGTTCTGTTAATAATATACTCTGTGTTTGTTCATGATCTTTAATCACATGGCTTTGTGCTCTGTGGAACATCCTGTCTCTCTCGCCTAAACCAGTTCAGAGGTAAAGATGCTTTGGACTCAATCCAGACTACATATGTATGTTTCTTGCTCTGGAAGCTGTTTGTCAGTTTCAAACATGTTGGCACAGTTTATATTATCGTGTTTTCCTGGAGGAAAAAAAACGAATCTGCCTATGAGATGAACAAACAGATAACCCTGCACACACACCTTGCTCGCCCCTAAGAACCCCCTTATCTCTACAAGGACAGAGGAAAACTGGAGGGTAAAGGTTAGCACACAATACATTTGTTAGGAAATTGCTTTATAAGAAACCATTTGTCTATTTCTACTTCTATGAGCATGGGATTCCCTTCCAAGCTGGAAAGCAACCTGTAGACTCTTCTGAAGTTGTGAATGTTTATCCAACTCCCAGCCTCATAAAAGCAGCTAATAATAAAAAATGAAAAACAAAAACAAAACCCAACTACCACTGACCCAAGACCACGTCAGGGTTTGGCATCTGGCTGAAGAAACATGGACTTCTTGAGGTTTTAATTTCAGTGAATTACTCCACTGTACAAAATGGGAAAGTGAGATGCAAAAAGGCTGTTATTGTACTGCATTTGTAATTTCATATTATGTAAAAAGATACTGACCCTATATCCAGGAATAATGCATGGACTTAGAATTAACATTGTGTACAAAGCATCACTTAAGATCATGTAACAACATCAAGATCTCTCTTTCTAATTGACTCAAAAAAGACCAGGCACAAATACACACACAGTCTGCCTCCCACATTTCTTGGCATATGGGACAACCGCTCTTACACGTGACTGACACGTTGTTCAGCCCACGCTGTTGGTTTCTTTTAGAACTTACCACACTGTTCTGTTCTAAAAATCAGAAGGCCAGGCCCACTGCTATACATACTTGTGTGCTTGTGTTTTATTTGGCAGACTGTGCACACAGCTTTTCAGAGCTGAATCACTACAACCCAATCACACCAAACACATGGTAATGACTTGCATTCACAGACAAGTGTGCAAATATGATTGAGGTTCAGGACATAAGTGGGCTGTATACCAGTAGGACACTGCTCCCCATGTTTGGAACCTTCCCAAAAGGGAAATTTGAGAATATTCAGCAGCAGGAGCAGAACAGAAGCAGGATCAAATGTATTTTTCAGACAACTGATGAAGCCCCCCTTCTGCACAGTACAGAGTTTTGTGGTGCAGAGCGCTTTAGATCAAAGAGCACAGGGAGGACACTTCTACCCCTCTGTAACATTCCATGTAGCTGTGATCCAAAGGCCAATTATTAGTCCTACCCAGGATTGCATGCAGATTGCAATAAATAACAGCTTTGTACTCTTAAATCACATCTATACGCTCCTCGAAAAACCTTACATCTCGTAAAAGGTAATGTGAATATCTAACACACAACTAGCCTCTCGTTTTATCAAGATAAATTTTATCAGTGCTTTAACAGTTTTTAATCCATTTCAACTTCATCCAAGCAGAACTTGTTAAGTTTAAGACAAAAGGAGATGACAGTACATGTAATCTACCAGCAGAGGCCATACCTCCATGGAACAATTAAGAGTCAATTCGGACAAATCCCACAGAACCTTTGGAGTTTGACATATGGGATACAGAACTACAAATTCTCAGCCAATTTCCTTCAGTTTGCTCTGATTTCCCTATTTCCTCACTTATTGCTGAGCTTCAGAGTTCATCCACAACTATCACAGCTCTCTTACTTTAATTCCTCTTCAGGCTGCTATAGATTTTACTGATAACAGGGCCCTGTATTCAAACCATGACCTACTGAAATCTTCCCTTCATGCTTTATGCTATTTCTACTCTATGCTCTTACTCAGGTTCCAGCCCTCCTACAGATGTTCATGCAAGTGCCCTTTTCCTTTGATTACAATGCATTAATATCCTAACACAGGGAAAGGTGTTCACATCTGGTTACACTTCTTGGCACAAAGAACCACGAATGCCTGTTTTCAAAACTCTACAATTACAACTACGTACATATTAAAGATTAGCAATGCCCCTGAGATGCAACTTCACCCCTTCATGGGCATGGTTTGTAGCTGACGGCAAACAACTGAAAACAAGCAGCATGACTTGGAGTACAAGTTGTGACATACAAAACACAACCATCTCATCAGTCAGTTCCCCGGCCATAAAACAGACGCTGGGAAAGCAGTCTCGATTTGCAGCGTGTGTGCAGCCTGTAGCCCAGAGCACTGGGTACAAATACACGAGCAGGAAAGCCTGCTTTAGACAGTTCTGACACTCTGACACCACTGCGCGGTGCTAGAGACCAAGGCTGGCAATGCACTCACTGCACTGGAAAGTTCGAAGTAACTTCTTGCTAGCGTCGCCTTGAGTTTTTAAGCCTTATTCACCACTGCATTTTAAGTTGAACATAAGAAATGAAAAGGGGAAATTCCAGACTGAAGTTTGTCTACCCCTCAGGCACTTCCTGCACCAGTGACAAAAGAGAACACAAATTGTCAAAAAAAAAAAAGCTTCAACTTCTGCTAGTGACCTTTTCTTGATTTTAAGCAAGAAATATTTGCCTTCCAAAATTGACCTGGAAGCAACGCTGCCCACCTTTGTGTTCCTACACTCAGAGTTGCTGCTGGCATACCTCCAGTGGACCACGCTCAGAAACAGGCTCTGCTTTGCTTCATCCTCAGTTTCTCTCTCAACTTTTCCCGCTGCTCTTCAAGCAGAGCAGGCACTTAATTGCCACTTGGTCTTCTGGGCCATCCTCTGCCAAAAGGAAATTACACGCCTTCTCTCTGCTTGCCTGGTAATCACTCAGCTAATGGAAGAACGGAGTCCAGCAATCCCCTTACAGAGAAGGCAGATAATTCAAGCATTATCAAGCTAAAAGTACATACTGCGGATAATTGAATAAGCCACAAAGTGTTCCCTGCACAACTACACCATACCCTCTGATCATATGAGGGTTAACAGTGAATTCTCTTCTCCCATACAGACACGTAGGCATAACTAAAGCAGGGACAGAGAAAACAAAACTTTCAGATTATTTTTTCTACAACTATTAATCCCTCTTTTCTTTTATTAATTTCCTTCTTGTCCTGACTACATTAGCCTGAAGGGCCTCGCTTTAAACAGGTGGATGCAGCATCTGATGTCCTTTGAGCATCGCATCTATGTATCTACATAGATCAAATACAAGGTGCTGAACATAGAGGACGTTACTGTTTGTTTGGTAGAGACTTTAGTGAAGACTTCAAGATGTTGGTTTTTTTCCTGCAATGCAAGGAAACGCTGCTACATTCAAGCCCTTCAGCAGTAAACTATTAATTCCTTTGGGTCACAACAGAAAGCAGACTTATTTTTTAAGAACATTTTCTAGAAGGTCTCAGTAGGGTGAGACAGAGCACAGCAGGGGAATTTCCTTTGCGCCGTATGATGCCAGGTGCAAAAGATGGATAATGCAAATGAATCAGCAGTGCCCCTGGCTCTAGTTCTGAAATAATTTCTCTCCACATCAGGAGAAACACCCTGAGCCTAAGAACAGGCAGAGAACATCACTTTCTAAATCACCTTCCAAAGGTGAACAAGTTGCAAGTTAACTTGTTCACTGCACATCAAACACCACGGGAAAAAAAGGATGGGCCTTCTAACGTGTCCCAGGTATTGCATCTCCTTCACAGCACCTCGGTAGCATCAATTAAAACCAACCTCTAATTTGCACTAAAATAATCTGATTTTAAATTCCTTCTGAATGCAGTTGATCTTCCCTGATCTTTCTCTAGTACAGCTGACGCACAGACGTACCCCAGATGATGGGTCCTGTCTCCACTATCTATTTTCAAAAAGGCCTCGTTTCACCACACTGCTGGACCAGACGATAGATTCACTGTTACTATGCTGTTTCCTTACAAATGCAAGGAAAATCACTGGGTAATCTCAGCGGCACCACGTTGTCACCATCAGCAAAGTCCATCGCTCTTGACCAAAAAGGCCAAGGCAGTTCATTTTGTTCCAGCAGATAAACCCTTTTAGAAAGAACATTATGTTCTCCCATTACAGAAGGTTCCGAAACACACACTTCTTGTGGGAAAAGATGACTTAATTGTAACCTAGAGAAACACACCAAGTAATTTAAGTAAGAATGCAGTGAAAATGTCTATCTGGAGTAGTTCCATATGCCCAGAACAAACTAAATTGTGTCCTGGTAGGACTAAACGTAAGGCAGTTTGCTTTTGCTACAGAATAGGGAACTTCCCTCCTGTTTCCTGGTTATTTGAAGGTCTTACCAAAAATATGTAAACATTCAGTGTAATCACACTGTGAGCTTCTAACTGGAATAAGCAGAAAGTGTTTTGTTTTTCAATATATAAATGCAGAGATCAGTAGGAGGAACACCGAAACAA